ATGACAAACTTAATCAGTCACTGCTATGTGTGTTCTGATTGCTCCACTGACCAGTCGTTTCCCCATTCTCTTCTTTTCCTTGGGCCTCCTCATTCCACGAGGCACAACAATATTGAAATTAGGCCAGTTAACAACCCTGGAATGGCCTCGAAGTATTCAAGTGAAAGGAAGAGCCACATGTCTCTCACTTTAAATCAAAAGCTAGAAATGATTAAGCTTTGTGAGGAACGCATGCCAAAAGCCAGGACAGGTCAAAACCTTCTTGTGCCAAACAGCCAGATTGTGAATGTGAAGGAAAAGCTCTTGAAGGAAATTAAAAGTGCAACTCCAGTGAACTCATGAATAATAAGAAAGCAAAATAGCCATACTGCTGCTGTGAAGAAAGTTCTGAACAAGATCAACGTGCTGAACAACAACAAACCAGCCACAATACTCCTTTAAGCCAAAGCCTAATCCAGAACAAGACCCTAGCTCTCTTCAATCCTATGAAGGCTTAGAGAAGGGAGGAAGCTGCAGAAGAAAAATTGGAAGCTAGCAGAGGTGGGTTCATGAAGTTAAAGGAAAGAATCTGTCTCCAGAACATGAAAGTGCAAAGTGAAGCAGAAAGTGCTGACGAGGAAGCTGCAGCAAGTTCTCCAGAAGATCCAGCTAACAGCACTGATAAAGGAGACGACACTGAACAATAGATTTTCCATGTAGATGAAACAGCAAGTTCTCCAGAAGATCCAGCTAACAGCACTGGTAAAGGAGGCGACACTAAACAATAGATTTTCCATGTAGATGAAACAGCATTCTATTGGAAGAAGATGCCATCCGGGACTTTCAGAGCTGGACAAACATCATTGCCTGACTTCAAAGCACCAAAGGACAGGCTGACTCTCTTATTAGGGGCCAATGGATATGGAGACTTTAAGTTGAAGCCAAGGTTCATTCACCATTCCGAAAAGCCTAGGGCCCTAAAGAATGATGCTAAATCTACTCTGCCTGTGCTCTAGAAACAAAACCACGAAGCCTGGATGGCAGCACATTTGTTGACAGCATGGTTTAGTAAATATTTTAAGCCCACTGTTGAGACCAACTGCTCAGAAAAAAAGATTCCTTTCAAAATATTGCTACTCATTGACAATGCAGTTGGTCACTCAGGAGCTCTTGTGGAGATATCCAAGATTAATGTTGTTTTCATGCCTGATAACACAACATCTACTCTACAGGTTACAAGTCAAGGAGTAATTTTGACTTTCAAGTTTTATTGTTTAAGAAATATATCTCATAAGGTTATAGCTGCCATGGATAGTGAACCCTCTGATGAACAAGTAAATTGAAAACCTTCTGGAAAAGATTCACCACCCTAGATCTCATTAGAAACACTTGTGACTCTTCGGAGGATGTCAGAGTATCAGCATTAGCAGGAGTTTGGAAGAAGTTGATTCCAAACGTCATGGATGACCGAGGGATTCAAGACTTCAGTGGAGGAAGTCACTGCAAATGCGATAGAAATAGCAAGAGGACAAGAATAAAAGTGAAGCCTGAAGATGACTGAATTGCTGCAATCTCAGGATAAACTTAGGACAGATGAGGCGTTACTCTTACGGATAAGCAAAGAAAATGGTTTCTTAAGATGGAATCTACTCCTGGTAAAGATGATATTAATATTGCTGAAATGACAACAGAACATTTAGAATATTCCATAAATTTAGCTGCTAAAGTAGCAGCAAGGTTTGAGAGAATTGGCTTCAATTTTGAAAGAATTTCTACCATGGGTAAAATTCTGTCAAACAGCATCACATGCTACAGAGAAACCTTTCATGAGAAGAAGAGTAAATCGATGAGGCAAACTTCATTGTTGTCTTATTTTAAGAAATTGCCACAACCACTCCAAGCTTCAGGAACCACCATCGGCATCAGTCAGCAGCCAACATCCAGGCAAGGTCCTCTCTCCGCTAAAAAAGGAAGACTCACTGAAGGCTCAGATGACCACTAGGTTATTTTAACAATAAAGTGTGTTTAAATTAAGGTTTGTGTATTGCTTTGTAGACATAACGCTTTGCACACTTTGCAGTATAATATAAGCCTAGCTTTTATATGCACCCAGAAACCAATTAGTAAGACTTGTTTTATTGTGACATTTGCTGTATTGCAGTGGTCTAGAACCAAACCTGGATATCTCTGAAGTCAGCCTGTGAATTTCAACATGAGTTTTGGTTGGGACAAACCACATCCAAGCCATAGCAGGGAGTTAGGCTTTTCCACGTGATGCCAGGGAAGAGGCAGCTGGGGACACGCAAACCAGGCACCTCCAAGAGGTTTTCGTGCAGGGCGATGCAGGGGAGGAGGGAAGGCAGCCCGGTGGCTTCTCAGAGGGCGGCAGGGGCACGGCCTCACACAAGCTCTACGGAGATCCCGCCGGAAGTGTCCGGCACCGCTCCAGGGTCTCCATGTCAACGGGGTTTCCATCCCCACTGGAAAGGAGGGGAAGATCATGCTTCTCTGGTTTTCCAATGAGTAACATTCTCTCCATACTTCATGCTGAGTGTTAACTTCACCACATTACTAAAATGGTGATTATTTCATTTATCAAATGTCATCAGTCAATCTGCAAAATTTTCAGATAACTGGGACATCTCTTTCAGTTCCAAGCAAATCTGGAACGACTTTTTGGTGACTAAGTTTCACAATATCATATGCACTTCACCTGCTTAATCACAGTGCACAAGTAACCTCATTTTGGGGCAACTTGGCTAAGTAAGCAGCCATGTCAGTTAATGCAATGTATTGTTGTTTACAGAGGGCACCAAATCTGTAGTGTAGGTGCTAGTGAGGTATGTTGTTACCTGACCATGTCAGTTACTGCACTGCGTTGCTGTTCATGGATGGTACGAGGCACTAGTGAGATATGTTGTTATCTGACCATGTCAGTTATCGTACCAGGTTGCTGTTTATGGAGGGTAGGGAGTACTAATGAGGTATGTTGTTACCTGACCATGTCAGTTACTGTACAGTGTTGCTGTTTATGGAGGGCACCAGGTGCTGGTGAGGTACGTTGTTACCTGACCATCTGCTAGGTTCAGTTTTAGATTCCTTACTCGTCCTACAAGCATTAATTCTGTTTTTCTTGCTGCTTCCTGTAGTAGGCCTCCCTCCAAACTTCATGGCCATTTCTAGTGCAGTGGTAGCCAAGAAAACAAATACTAATGCTTCTTTCTCTTCTTTCAAAACCAAGAGCAAAGAAAACCCAAGTGAAGATGTCAGCCCCTTTATGTAAGTGTGACACACAGTAGTCTCCCTTCGATTCCGTTTTGCTTTCTGAGGTTTCAGTGACCCGTGGTCAAATGTGGTCTAAAGACATTAAATGAAAAGTTCCATAAATGAATAATTCCTAAGTTTTAAATTGCACATCTTCTGAGTACTGTAATGAATCTCATGCCACCCTGCTGTATCAATACCCTCCAGTGCTCAAATCACCCCTCTGTCAGTGTGCGGATCACCCCTCTGTCGGTGCGCGGATCACCCCTCTGTCGGTGCGCGGATCACCCCTCTGTCCATGCGCGGATCACCCCTCTGTCCGTGCGCGGATCACCCCTCTGTCAGTGCGTGGATCACCCCTCTGTCCGTGCGCGGATCACCCCTCTGTTGGTGCGCGGATCACCCCTCTGTCCATGCGCGGATCACCCCTCTGTCCGTGCGCGGATCACCCCTCTGTCAGTGCGCGGATCACCCCTCTGTCAGTGCGCGGATCACCCCTCTGTCAGTGCATCCAGGCTGAACACCACCCATTAGTCACTTAGCGTCCGTCTCGGTGATCAGATCGACTCTTACAGCATCACAGTGCTTGTATTCAGGTCACTCTTATCGGATGTAGTCATGTCACATAAGGGTGACTGAGGTGCAAGCGTAGAGATGCTGGTATACAGTAATAATTGCTTTATTATTAGTTTTTGTTACTAATCTCTTACTGCACCTAATTCACAAGTTAAACTTTGTTGCAGGTATGTATGTATGTATGTAGGAAGAAACGTGGTATACAGCATAGATAGGGTTCCTTACCTCCATGCTTTCAGCCATTCCTTAAGGGTCTCGGAATGTAACCGTCCTGGAGGAGCAGGGGCTCCTGTACAGGAGTTAAGCTTTCGTGTGTTCGTGTGTGGGCTGTTTGGTCCTTCTGAAGTCTTTTGCTTATATCATTTCTCATGTGGTTTGTGCTGTTTTTTGTAACCAGAAAGGTTTTCTTTCACTGTGTCTGCACAACATCTCTGATGTGCTGCGTGCTTTTTGCGATGTTTTCAGATGGGAAGCTGGTCAGGGTAGGTGCTTTTCTCCAGCGGTCAGTCAGGCGTCCACCTAGCCCAGGGCGACCCTCTCACTGCACTGGCAGCTGGAGTACAGGGTTCCAGGGCCGCTATTTCTGGGCATTGCAGATAACATCCAGCAGTGATGCAAAATCTTTTCTGAGCACCATGGCTAGATTCATTGTATATGAGACAGACAGATGCACATGCTGCCTTTTTTAAATTCATAAGTGGCTGGAAGATAGTTTTGAATAAGTCACTGAACCTTCCTAAGAATTCGTGTACTTATTCCTAACAAGATTATTTTATCTTTGCATAATATTATAAAATTTAATTAATTGAGGTTTATAAAGTACTTCACATGGAAATATGCAAAACATAATTTTCTTATATGCTTAAATTAATTTTCTAGATAAATTTTCAAAAACTCTTTCTTGAATTATTTAACAAACCACTATTATTAATGAGATTTTGAAATATGATATAGAATAATACTACAAATGTATTTTTGTTTCTTCTGAAAAAAATCAAGAGAACCTAAGAGAAAGTCAGGTGAAATACTGAATAACATTGGATTAGAATAGATTTATGGGGTCATTAAAAGATAATTATTTGTTACCAGAACCTCCAGTTTAATTACTCAATTAAGTTTTAGATTATCTTCATTATGTACACGAACCTTATTGCAGTTCTAATTTACCTCATCACTTTCAGAGCTGGTTTGGCAGTCAGCTTTATTTTAAGTTAAAACCGCCAATATAATTGTGTGGCTTCTGTCGATGACTCTTAAATGTTTCGTTTTCCTTAAATACACAGTAGTTGCACAAATGGCCTGGGAAGGGACTGGCCTTGGTGGGACCCCTTGATTCCTCTTGAGCTTCTCCAGCCCCTCTCAGGGGAAGCGCCAAGGTCAGAGGCTCCTGGGACTCCTCACTGTTTTGGAGCCTCATCCAAATCTATGTTAAAATTCAGCTTTTCCTTAAAATTGTTATTCATTCGCTTAAATCCTCTCTGTAGTGTATTCTTAACCACTGAAGCAAATTACGAATTTCAATAAATTCACAAGTGACCTCATATTAAAGTTATTCCATGCATTCATTTACAAACTTTCTGGAAGTATCTAACTGATGCCAATTTTTCTACTGCTAGTGCTTTGCTTTTATTAAGTGTGTTGTGTAATTATAGAAACTTTGTATAAAGTTTGTCAAATCTGATAACTACTAGTTTGCATATTCAAACTCAGATATTCACAAGTGAAGTTATACCCTGCTGCTGTGCACATGGACACGTAGAGAGGTAAAGTTACGCTCTGCAGCTGTGCCTGTGGGCACATAGCGAGGTAGAGTTACGCTCTGCTGCTGTGTACATGGACGCGTAGAGAGGTAGAGTTACGCTCTGCTGCTGTGCCTGTGGACACGTAGCGAGGTAAAGTTGCCACTCAAGCCTGTGAAGAGGTGGATGGGCTCACGGCTGAGCCTCGTGACCTTGCTGCCATTCTAGCATTGTTTCTATAGGAAAATCTCCTGACTCTGGGAATCTGGCTTGCACGTAGACGTCCAGCCTCAGCCTGCCTGGAGCTGTCAGTCTTGCATTATCAAAACCATAATAAATACTAATATCGTATGGATGTGTTTTTAAACGTGTGCCCGCCTCACTTATTGGCTTTGGTATGACTGTAACAATGTCCGTCCCGTGGCTGTTTTTCCAGACACCTGGAATGAGTGTGGGATTCTCTTCTGCAGCGAAGCGAATGGCACTTGTAGGGGAGTAGTTTACGTGCCCCGCCAAGTTACTCCACATAAAAAAGCCCATTTTCATTCGATACTAGGAGCACAATATAAATTCTGTATCTACCATTGTCTTGTGAGCCGTTTAGACGAAGTTAATGTCTTCCTTTTGGAATTTATTTTGCATTTATTATTCATACACGTACCTAAACTCTTTCAGCTGAAAACATTGTTGATCAAAGAAATGCGACTGCATGCTCTGGAAGTCAGAAATGCACCCAACACATTTAGAAGGCCCAGCTTCAAGCTGGGCTGAATGGCATCTGTGCTGGATGCTTTTTAATCATAATCCCCAAAATTCCACCAAACAGGAATCCAGAGGCTGTACCTGCAAAGTCCTGCCAAGCATCACTCACAATCACGCTGCCTCCCCGGCTAGCGCGTCCCTCCAGGAACTCCCCCGCCCCCGCGTCAGTGAGCTGGGCACTCTCCAAGACCAGGTTCAGTCCCTGCCTCATGACTTTCTTTCATGACTGATACAATCGACCACTTCAAAGTAGAGCGCCGGCATTTCCTGATGGTCCCAACACGTCGGCCTGTGAAAGACAGATGAGCTCCCTTTGCTCACGCAGATGCCGTTTACTACAGAGATCCTGCACATCTGTTTTCTAAATTAAGGTTAAAAATAGTCAAAAGGCACAAAATACAGATATCAAGACAGAAGTGGCCACGGAAGGTCGGTAGCTAAACTCAGAGGATCCCAGTCTCTGGATTTTCAGTCTTCCAGGCACCGCCCACACCCAGAAGGAAAATCCCTTCTCCAGGGCTCGCAGAGCCTGGCTGCAGCCACGGACAAAGCCACCGTGGCCTGCTCCTTCCGGGAAAGGCGGGTGGTCGGTGGTCTCCTGCTCACTGCTGCCGCCCACACCCTAACTCCTCAGCCGCACCCCTGCACCGGGCTGGTGGTCATGCTCCAAAGTCTCCGCTCACCAATCTTCCGGGCCTGACCCTGCTGGGCCTGTGCACACCCAGACCCCTGCTGATGGGGCTGCTTGGGGCCGGGGTGCCCACCCCTTTGCCTCCCTTTGGCCAACATGGAGGCTCCTCAGCCCCATGGCCCTTGCGCTCATCGGCATTGACAGTCCCTCGGCTGTAAGGTGTCTCTTGTCCACTGTCCAGTTACAAATTAGTCTTCAGAGCTGCTGTGCACCTGCAGGGCATCCAGAGCTGCCTGGACAGGGCCCACCGACCCTCCTTCCCAGACCTGCCAGGCTTGTCTGAGGACCGACTGTGCCCAGGACACCGTTCACCCTGTCTGTCTCTGGGGCTTTCTGTCCCACACGCTGTGCCCCAGCCTGGATGCCCTCCCCTCGCCACAGCCTGTGTGTGGCCCTGGCTTCTCTGTGTCTTCCACAGTTCTCTGTGGACCTCCCTCTCACAGGGGGCGTCGTCAGGACCATCACACAGCAGGCGTGCCCGGTCATTCGTATCCTGTTCCTACAGAAGCTCAGCGACTGTGGAGGCGGCGTTTCCTGAATTAAAGCGAGTCTTGGGCATGGATAACTATTAGAGGAATACACAGTTAAAGAGCCCTCTGTCTTCTTTTCCCATCGGAATATAAAACAGAGCCGCTGAGAGAAACAGGGGCTAGAACATTGGCGCTGTGCTCTGGCTGGGAATTTTGTTTGACAGATTTAAACGGAGGACCTCACGGTACATATTTGAAAGCCTCTGCCGTGAGCCACCGACCTGCCGTCTTGAAGAGTGATGCTGAGCGTTGCTCTTGGTGCCTGTGAGCTCCTGTGAATCTCCCCTGGAAAGATGCTGGAGTAGGGAGCGGGCTGCAGCTGGCAGTTTATTTCTCCAAAAGCCGTTATGGCTTAATTTAATTAGATGGGAACTAAGAGCGCTGGTGGTAATGTTTCTATTTCTGCTCCATCATTTATTTCAGGGCTAATCTAATCCTTCAGTTAACACCCCCATCCTGGGAAGAGCAAATTAGCTTTTATTAATTGTTCACATTGTAACGTTCCCTCTCTCTCCAACTTTTAGCTGTTGTGATTCTGACGGCTGCTGATAGGAAGGCGGCAGCCGACTGAACCTGGCAAAGTGTGAGAACCCCAAGCCCAGCATTTTTCTGGGATGCGAGCTCGGTGATGGCACGGAGAATCTCTCTTGTTTTTCTTTGGAACCCCAGAGTCTCCAATGTATCACAGTCAGGCACCCCTCAAAAAACTTACAAAACCACCTAAAAAGAGAATACATTTCTCACCATCTATTTCCCTTCGATGTAGACTCCAAACCAGCTGTGTTCTCAGTTGGCGTATGGGGCCCTGGAAAAGCGTGTCATGTTTTCTGTGAGTAAGGCAAGATTAAATTGGCCTTACCTTTTAAAATTTCACTTAAACATATGTTTATACAAAACAAGTAGAAAATTGAAGCTGATGTCAACTAAATCACCAATTCTAAATACTGGAATCATATTACATTTCTAAAATAGACATTTGTGTTTGTAACTAAAATATTCAGTTTTGCTTATTAATCATAAACTCAAACATTTATCGCACATTGACTGTGTGTCAGGTTGTAGGAAACCTTATACTTACTGTATTAGGGTTCTCTACAGGGACAGAATTAATAGGAGATTATATATATATATCTCATATTAGTTTTATAACTCTCTCTATAAATATAAATATATAAATATGATATGTATATGTATATATGGGAGTTTATTAAGTATTACTAACTCACACGATCACAAGATCCCACAGCAGGCCATCTGCACGCTGAGGAGCAAGGAAGCCGGTCCGAGTCCCAAAGCTGAGGAGCATGAAGTCCGACGTTTGAGGGCAGGAAGCATCCAGCACAGGAGAAAGATGTGGGCTGGGAGGCTGGGCCAATCTAGACTTTTCACATTCTTCTGCCTGCTTTATATTCTGGCCGTGCTGGCAGCTGATGAGATGGTGCTCACCCAGAATAAGGGCGGGTCTGCCTTTCCCAGCCCACTGATTCAGATGTTCATCTGCTTTACCAACACCCTCATAGCAACATTCAGGATCAACATTTTGCATCCTTCAATCCAATCAAGTTGACACTCAGTATTAACCATCATAAGTCCACCCTTGTCGACTTGACCGCATACACATCTCCTGAGATTATATATAATCTTCAAATAAAGACAATCATTTCATAGTTACACCTAATATAATACAACTATCCTTGGTACGACTGGAAACGCACCAATCCCCAACCCAAATACTATTACACAAAGTTAACAATACTTAAATGCTTATATGAAGTCAATAAATCTTATGTCACATGATAAAGGAAAAAAGAAATGAAGATACTTTCTTAGTACAGGTGTATACATGCAGAAGCGTGTTTTTAACAAAAGGAGGAGGAAATACTCATGACAATTACAGTCCTCATTTCTGTAGCTGGTCCCATGGTTGTAGCTGGTGTTGATGACTAACTTCTTCTCCTGCCCATTCTGTATTCCCTTTGCCTTCAGCAAGCACCTCAGCAGGTCGTGGTTTTTTGTTTTTTTTTTTCCTGGTAGAGTGACCCAAGCCTTCATCGCTGAAGGGTCTGGCCCATTTGTAGTCCTGCCTGGATTGGGCTGTTGTAGTTTCCCATTGATCTTAATCACAGGGCGTGCTAATACTAAGAAATGCCCTAATGGAGCTCCTGTGTTCCTTGCATACTCTTCCTTACCTCCATTGTGGAGTAGTAGACTGATTTCGTCTTACTCTGGGTCAATCATCCCAGCCAACACTGTAACTCCCTTCTTAGCCTGTTGACTTAAAGGTAGGAGGAGCCCAAAGTGTCCAGGTGGCAATCTTAACTTCCAGTTTAAGGGAATTGCCCTTGTGTGTCCTGGTGGCAGCATTCCTCCCCCTGTAACTAAGACCTCTAGGACAGCAAAACATAATGTCGAGGGAACTGGAAACAGAAATTTTGCTAGTGGATCACTAGGGGTGATGGTGAGTGGTGCCACTTCCTCTTC